ATACACCGCTGGTCTGTATATGTAGGATCATACACCGCTGGTCTGTATATGTAGCCCGTCATCACCGCTGGTCTGTATATGTAGGATCATTACACCCGCTGGTCTGTATATTAGGATCATGTAGGATACTGTAGGGATCATACACCGCTGGTCTGTATATGTAGGCCCATACAACCCGCTGGTCTGTATAATGTAGGCCCATACACCGATCTGGTCTGTATATGTAAGGATCATACAATCCGCTGGTCTGTATATGTAGGATCATTACACCGCAGGTCGCTGCTGTCTGTATATGTAGGATCATACAACCCGCTGGTCTGTATATGTAGGATCATACACCGCTGGTCTGTATATGTATGTAGGATCAGTACACTCCGCTGGCCCTGTATATGTAGGCATCATACACGCTGGTCTGTATATGTAGGAATCATTACCCGCTGGTTCTGTATAATGTAGTCCCATGTACCGCTGGGCTGTAATCATGTAGGAGGCCCATACACAACCGCTGGTCTGTATAATGTAGGATCAATACACCGCTGGTCTGTATATGTAGGATCATACACCGCTGGTCTGTATAATGTAGGGCCCATACACCGCTGGTCTGTATATGTAGATCATACACCGCTGGTCTGTATATGTAGGATCATTACACCGCTGGTCTGTATATGTAGGATCATACACCGCTGGTCTGTATATGTAGGATCATACACCGCTGGTTGTATATGTAGGAATCTTACACCGCTGGTCTGTATATGTAATGAAGGCCCATACACCGCTGGTCTGTATATGTAGGCCCATACACCGCTGGTCTGTATATGTAGGATTATACACCGCTGGTCTGTATATGTAGGATCATTACACCGCTGGTCTGTATATGTAGGATCATACACCGCTGGTCTGTATATGTAGGCCCGTACACCGCTGGTCTGTATATGTAGGATCATACACCGCTGGTCTGTATATGTAGGCCCATACACCGCTGGTCTGTATATGTAGGATTATACACCGTGGTCATATGTAGGCCCGTACACGCTGGTCTGTATATGTAGGGCCATACACCGACCTGTCTGTATATGTAGGCCCATACACCGCTGGTCTGTATATGTAGGCCCATACACCGCTGGTCTGTATATGTAGGCCCATACACCGCTGGTCTGTATATGTAGGCCCATACACCGCTGGTCTGTATATGTAGGCCCATACACCGCTGGTCTGTATATGTAGGATCATACACCGCTGGTCTGTATATGTAGGATCATACACCGCTGGTCTGTATATGTAGGCCCATACACCGCTGGTCTGTATATTTGTAGGCTGGTCTGTATATGTAGGCCCATACTTTTTTAGTTCTGTTATATGTAGGATATACACCGCTGGTCTGTATATGTAGGCCCATACACCGCTATTTGTATGTTTGGCCCATACACCGCTGGTCTGTATATGTAGGATCGTACACCGCTGGTCTGTATATGTAGGATTCAACACCGCTGGTCTGTATATGTAGGCCCATACACCGCTGGTCTGTATATGTAGGATTCGTACACCGCTGGTCTGTATATGTAGGCCCGTACACCGCTGGTCTGTATATGTAGGATCGTACACCGCTGGTCTGTATATGTAGGATCGTACACCGCTGGGTCTGTATATGTAGGATCGTTTACACCGCTAGGATCTGTACATTTTTAGGATCGTACACCGCTGGTCTGTATATGTAGGCCCGTACACCGCTGGTCTGTATATGTAGGCCCGTACACCGCTGGTCTGTATATGTAGGCCCGTACACCGCTGGTCTGTATATGTAGGCCCGTACACCGCTGGTCTGTATATGTAGGCCCGTACACCGCTGGTCTGTATATGTAGGATGTACACCGCTGGTCTGTATATGTAGGATCGTACACCGCTGGTCTGTATATTGTAGGATCGTACACCGCTGGTCTGTATATGTAGGCCCATACACCGCTGGTCTGTATATGTAGGCCCACCGCCTACACCGCTGGTCTGTATATGTAGGCCCGTTACACCGCTGGTCTGTATATGTAGGCCCGTACACCGCTGGTCTGTTATATGTAGGCCCCATACACCGCTGGTCTGTATATGTAGGATCATACACCGCTGGTCTGTATATGTAGGCAATACACGCTGGTCTGTATATGTAGGCCCATACACCGCTGGTCTTGTATATGTAGGATCATTACACCGCTGGTCTGTAATATGTAGGATCATACACCGCTGGTCTGTATATGTAGGCCCATACACCGCTGGTCTGTATATGTAGGATCATACACCGCTGGATCTGTATATTAGATCAATACACCGCTGGTCTGTAATATTGTAGGCCCCATACACCGCTGGTCTGTATATGTAGGGTCCCCATACACCGCTGGTCTGTATATGTAGGATCATACACCGCTGGTCTGTATATGTAGGATCGTACACCGCTGATGTCTGTATATGTAGGATCGTACACCGCTGGTCTGTATATGTAGGATCGTACACCGCTGGTCTGTATATGTAGGATCGAACACCGCTGGTCTGTATATGTAGGATCGATTACACCGCTGGTCTGTATATGTAGGCCCGTACACCGCTGGTCTGTATATGTAGGCCCGTACACCGCTGGTCTGTATATGTAGGCCCGTACACCGCTGGTCTGTATATGTAGGCCCGTACACCGCTGGTCTGTATATGTAGGCCCATACACCGCTGGTCTGTATATGTAGGATCATACACCGCTGGTCTGTATATGTAGGCCCATACACCGCTGGTCTGTATATGTAGGCCCATACACCGCTGGTCTGTATATGTAGGATCATACACCGCTGGTCTGTATATGTAGGATCATACACCGCTGGTCTGTATATGTAGGCCCATACACCGCTGGTCTGTATATGTAGGATCATACACCACTGGTCTGTATATGTAGGCCCGTACACCGCTGGTCTGTATATGTAGGATCGTACACCGCTGGTCTGTATATGTAGGATACGTACACCGCTGGTCTGTATATGTAGGATCGTACACCGCTGGTCTGTATATGTAGGATCGTACACCGCTGGTCTTATATATGTAGGCCCTGTACACCGCTGGTCTGTATATGTAGGCCCATACACCGCTGGTCTGTATATGTAGGATTCATACACCGCTGGTCTGTATATGTAGGCCCATACACCGCTGGTCTGTATATGTAGGCCCCATACACCGCTGGTCTGTATATGTAGGATCATACACCGCTGGTCTGTATATGTAGGCCCATACACCCGCTGGTCTGTATATGTAGGCCCATACACCGCTGGTCTGTATATGTAGGCCCATACACCGCTGGTCTGTATATGTAGGATCATACACCGCTGGTCTGTATATGTAGGCCCATACACCGCTGGTCTGTATATGTAGGCCCATACACCGCTGGTCTGTATATGTAGGATCATACACCGCTGGTCTGTATATGTAGGCCCATACACCGCTGGTCTGTATATGTAGGCCCATACACCGCTGGTCTGTATATGTAGGCCCATACACCGCTGGTCTGTATATGTAGGCCCATACACCGCTGGTCTGTATATGTAGGATCATACACCGCTGGTCTGTATATGTAGGCCCATACACCGCTGGTCTGTATATGAAGGCCCATACACCGCTGGTCTGTATATGTAGGGCCCATACACCGCTGGTCTGTATATGTAGGATCATACACCGCTGGTCTGTATATGTAGGATCATACACCGCTGGTCTGTATATGTAGGATCATACACCGCTGGTCTGTATATGTAGGATCATACACCGCTGGTCTGTATATGTAGGCCCGTACACCGCTGGTCTGTATATGTAGGATCATACACCGCTGGTCTGTATATGTAGGCCCGTACACCGCTGGTCTGTATATGTAGGCCCATACACCGCTGGACTGCAAATTTTGTGGCAGATTGTCTCAGAGGTGACGCTACATTATACAGAGAGATTTGTCCCAAAAGCAGGAAGAGCCGGCAACTCCAACATCCTCATGAAAGCTTTCTTGGTGATTCAGGAGTGACATAAAAACATGCTGTGATCAACCCTACTTGACAAAACACGCCAGATGCTGTGAGCAAGACTACTTGCCGAAATGCGTCAGTTATGTGATTTAGGCAACTTGACGAAACGCGTCAGATACTTTTATGTCACTCCTGTATCACTAATAAAGCTTCATGAGGATGTTGCCGGCTCTTCCTGCTTGTTGTATCCAGTGTTTGGAGGACACTTTGGAGGCTGAGCACAGGTTGGACCCCTCTGGTCAGGTTTGTGTGTGACTTCGGTTTCCTCCTCCATCATGACATTCACACACATTGGTCTCACTCACATATCTCTCTCAGGGTCCAGGTCACGTGCTTCGGATTCGATAGGCTGACATGCTGAACCCGACATCGGAAATCCTTCCCTAAATCCTTCATTGTTGTGATGTAACTGCAAGTGCTGGAGGTATGATAGAGTCCGTCATTGCCTGGGAGGGGGTCACCGATGTTAGATGGTAGCATGACGTCATCTTCCGTGTACCATGTGTGATTTGTATGTCCGGCGGGTAAAATGAGTGAATCCTACAGGACAGATCCAACTTCTCACCGACACAGACATTGTCCTGACCCTTCAGTATGGAGTCCATGGAGGGAACCGCTGAAATAAAACCAACAGGCAGGAATGTCAGAAACCTGGCTTGTGACAACCCAAGGGTACACTCTGTGTCAGAGGAACAAGGTAGGTAGAAGAGAGGGGCGTGCCTGTATGTCATGCAATTGCATGGTGAATATGACAGATGACATTGCTAATGGGGCCGGTAACAAGGTGGAGTCTTTGTGGCTCCAAAGGGAGGAAACAAACAGTAATTGTGGGTGTATGGTGTACGCCCCCTAACCTGAGGGTGGAGGAGGGGCCCCATCGACTGTAATAGTCAGAGATGTACATACCAATCACTGTCACACCCCCCACACTCCTCTCCTATACATACTGTACTCATCTCCTGTACATAACGATCACTGTGTCACACCTCCACACTCCTCTCCTGTACGTACTGCCCACTGTCACACCCCCCACACTCCTCTCCTGTACGTACCGATCACTGTCACACCCTCCACACTCCTCTCCTGTACGTACTGCCCACTGTCACACCCCCCACACTCCTCTCCTGTACGTACCGATCACTGTCACACCCTCCACACTCCTCTCCTGTACGTACCGATCACTGTCACACCCCCCGCACTCCTCTCCTGTACATACCTATCACTGTCACACCCCCCACACTCCTCTCCTATACGTACCGATCACTGTCACACCCTCCACACTCCTCTCCTGTACGTACCGATCACTGTCACACCCTCCACACTCCTCTCCTGTACGTACCGATCACTGTCACACCCTCCACACTCCTCTCCTGTACGTACCGATCACTGTCACACCTCCACACTCCTCTCCTGTACGTACCGATCACTGTCACAACCCCCACACTCCTCTCCTGTACGTACCGATCACTGTCACGCCCTCCACACTCCTCTCCTGTACGTACCGATCACTGTCACGCCCTCCACACTCCTCTCCTGTACGTACCGATCACTGTCACACCCCCACACTCCTCTCCTGTACATACTGCCCACTGTCATACCCCCACACTCCTCTCCTGTACATACCTATCACTGTCATACCCCCACACTCCTCTCCTGTACATACCGATCACTGTCACACCCCCCACACTCCTCTCCTGTACGTACCGATCACTGTCACACCCCCCACACTCCTCTCCTGTACGTACCGATCACTGTCACGCCCTCCACACTCCTCTCCTGTACGTACCGATCACTGTCACACCCTCCACACTCCTCTCCTGTACGTACCGATCACTGTCACACCCCCACACTCCTCTCCTGTACATACTGCCCACTGTCATACCCCCACACTCCTCTCCTGTACATACCTATCACTGTCACACCCCCCACACTCCTCTCCTGTACGTACCGATCACTGTCACACCCTCCACACTCCTCTCCTGTACGTACCGATCACTATCACGCCCTCCACACTCCTCTCCTGTACGTACCGATCACTGTCACGCCCTCCACACTCCTCTCCTGTACGTACCGATCACTGTCACGCCCTCCACACTCCTCTCCTGTACTACCGATCACTGTCATACCCCCCACACTCCTCTCCTGTACGTACCGATCACTGTCACACCCCCACACTCCTCTCCTGTACATACTGCCCACTGTCATACCCCCACACTCCTCTCCTGTACATACCTATCACTGTCACACCCCCCACACTCCTCTCCTGTACATACCGATCACTGTCATACCCCCCACTCCTCTCCTGTACTGTACCGATCACTGTCACGCCCTCCACACTCTCTCCTCTCCTGTACGTACCGATCACTGTCATACCCCCCACACTCCTCTCCTGTACGTACCGATCACTGTCACGCCCTCCACACTCCTCTCCTGTACGTACCGATCACTGTCACACCCTCCACACTCCTCTCCTGTACGTACCGATCACTGTCACACCCCCCCACACTCCTCTCCTGTACATACTGCCCACTGTCATACCCCCACACTCCTCTCCTGTACATACATTACCTATCACTGTCACACCCCCCACTCCTCTCCTGTACGTACCGATCACTGTCACGCCCTCCACACTCCTCTCCTGTACGTACCGATCACTGTCACACCCTCCACACTCCTCTCCTGTGCGTACCGATCACTGTCACACCCTCCACACTCCTCTCCTGTACGTACCGATCACTGTCACGCCCCACACTCCTCTCCTGTACGTACCGATCACTGTCACACCCTCCACACTCCTCTCCTGTACGTACCGATCACTGTCACGCCCTCCACACTCCTCTCCTGTACGTACCGATCACTGTCACGCCCTCCACACTCCTCTCCTGTACGTACCGATCACTGTCACGCCCTCCACACTCCTCTCCTGTACGTACCGATCACTGTCACACCCTCCACACTCCTCTCCTGTACGTACCGATCACTGTCACACCCCCCACACTCCTCTCCTGTACTCCTACCTGTACATACTGCCCACTGTCATACCCCCACACTCCTCTCCTGTACATACCTATCACACTGTCACACCCCCCACTCTCTCTCCTGTACATACCGATCACTGTCATACCCCCCACACTCCTCTCCTGTACGTACCGATCACTGTCACACCCCCACACTCCTCTCCCTGTACATACTGCCCACTGTCATACCCCCACACTCCTCTCCTGTACATACCTATCACTGTCACACCCCCCACTCCTCCTCTCCTGTACATACCGATCACTGTCATACCCCCCACACTCCTCTCCTGTACGTACCGATCACTGTCACATCACCCTCACGCCCTCCACACTCCTCTCCTGTACGTACCGATCACTGTCAAACATACCCCCCCACACTCCTCTCCTGTACGTACCGATCACTGTCACGCCCTCCACACTCCTCTCCTGTACGTACCGATCACTGTCACACCCCCACACTCCTCTCCTGTACGTACCGATCACTGTCACACCCCCACACTCCTCTCCTCTCCTGTACATACTGCCCACTGTCAATACCCCCACTCCTCTCCTGTACCTGTACATACCTATCACTGTCACACCCCCCACACTCCTCTCCTGTACGTACCGATCACTGTGTCACACCCTCCACACTCCTCTCCTGTACGTACCGACCGACACTGTCACGCCCTCCACACTCCTCTCCTGTACGTACCGATCACTGTCACACCCTCCACACTCCTCTCCTGTGCGTACCGATCACTGTCATACCCTCCACACTCCTCTCCTGTGCGTACCGATCACTGTCATCACCCTCCACACTCCTCTCCTGTACGTACCGATCACTGTCACGCCCTCCACACACTCCTCTCCTGTACGTACCGATCACTGTCACGCCCTCCACACTCCTCTCCTGTACGTACCGATCACTGTCACACGCCCTCCACACTCCTCTCCTGTACGTACCGATCACTGTCACGCCCCTCCACACTCCTCTCCTGTACGTACCGATCACTGTCACCCCTCCACACTCCTCCTCCCTGTACGTACCGATCACTGTCACACCCCCACACTCCTCTCCTGTACATACTGCCCACTGTCATACCCCCACACTCCTCCCTGTACATACCTATCACTGTCACACCCCCCCCACTCCTCTCCTGTACATACCGATCACTGTCATACCCCCCACACTCCTCTCCTGTACGTACCGATCACTGTCACACCCCCACACTCCTCTCCTGTACATACTGCCCACTGTCATACCCCCCCACTCCTCTCCTGTACATACCTATCACTGTCACACCCCCCACACTCCTCTCCTGTACATACCGATCACTGTCACCCCCCCACACTCCTCTCCTGTACGTACCGATCACTGTCACGCCCTCCACACTCCTCTCCTGTACGTACCGATCACTGTCATACCCCCCACACTCCTCTCCTGTACGTACCGATCACTGTCACGCCCTCCACACTCCTCTCCTGTACGTACCGATCACTGTACACACCCTCCACACCCTCTCCTGTACGTACCGATCACTGTCACACCCCCCACACTCTCCTCTCCTGTACATACTGCCCACTGTCATACCCCCCACACTCCTCTCCTGTACATACCTATCACTGTCACACCCCCCACACTCCTCTCCTGTACGTACCGATCACTGTCACACCCCCCACACTCCTCTCCTGTACGTACCGATCACTGTCACGCCCTCCACACTCCTCTCCTGTACGTACCGATCACTGTCACACCCCACACTCCTCTCCTGTACGTACCGATCACTGTCACGCCCTCCACACTCCTCTCCTGTACGTACCGATCACTGTCACCCCTCCACACTCCTCTCCTGTACGTACCGATCACTGTCACACCCTCCACACTCCTCTCCTGTACGTACCGATCACTGTCACACCCCTCCACTCACCTCTCCTGTACGTACCGATCACACTGTCACACCCTCCACACTCCTCTCCTGTACGTACCGATCACTGTCACGCCCTCCACACTCCTCTCCTGTACGTACCGATCACTGTCACCCCCCTCCACACTCCTCTCCTGTACGTACCGATCACTGTCACACCCTCCACACTCCTCTCCTGTACGTACCGATCACTGTCACGCCCTCCACACTCCTCCCTGTACGTACCGATCACTGTCACACCCCTCACACTCCTCTCCTGTACGTACCGATCACTACCCCGTCACGCCCCCCACACTCCTCTCCTGTACGTACCGATCCACTGTCACGCCCTCCACACTCCTCTCCTGTACGTACCGATCACTGTCACCCCTCCACACTCCTCTCCTGTACGTACCGATCACTGTCACACCCCCACACTCCTCTCCTGTACATACTGCCCACTGTCATACCCCCACACTCCTCCCCTGTACATACCTATCACTGTCACACCCCCCACACTCCTCCCCTGTACATACCGATCACTGTCATACCCCCACACTCCTCTCCTGTACGTACCGATCACTGTCACACCCCCACACTCCTCTCCTGTACATACATACTGCCCACTGTCATACCCCCACACTCCTCTCCTGTACATACCTATCACTGTCACACCCCCCACACTCCTCTCCCACCCCCCCATACCGATCACTGTCATACCCCCCCACACTCCTCTCCTGTACGTACCGATCACTGTCACGCCCTCCACACTCCTCTCCTGTACGTACCGATCACTGTCATACCCCCCACTCCTCTCCTGTACGTACCGATCACTGTCACCACCCCTCCACACTCCTCTCCTGTACGTACCGATCACTGTCACACCCTCCACACTCCTCTCCTGTACGTACCGATCACTGTCACACCCCCACCCCACTCCTCTCTCCCATACTGCCCCTGTCATACCCCCACACTCCTCTCCTGTACATACCGATCACTGTCACACCCCCCCCACACTCCTCTCCTGTACGTACCGATCACTGTCACCCTCCACACTCCTCTCCTGTACGTACCGATCACTGTCACGCCTCCACACTCCTCCTCCCTGTACGTACCGATCACTGTCACTCACACCCTCCACACTCCTCTCCTGTGCGTACCGATCACTGTCACACCCTCCACACTCCTCTCCTGTACGTACCGATCACTCACGCCCTCCACACTCCTCTCCTGTACGTACCGATCACTGTCACACCCTCCACACACTCCTCTCCTGTACGTACCGATCACTGTCACGCCCCTCCACACTCCTCCTGTACGTACCGATCACTGTCACACCCTCCACCCCCACCTCCTCCTCCTGTACGTACCGATCACTGTCACACCCCACACTCCTCTCCTCCCCATACTGCTCCACTGTCATACCCCCACACTCCTCTCCTGTACATACCTATCACTGTCACACCCCCCCCCCTCACTCCTCTCCTGTACGTACCGATCACTGTCCACAACCCTCCACACTCCTCTCCTGTACGTACCGATCACTGTCACGCCCTCCACACTCCTCTCCTGTACGTACCGATCACTGTCACACCCCCACAC